GTCGATCTTATGGCCTTACGCTCTGTATGAAGAATTTATATATATATATATATAAATATATATATATATATATATTATATCCTAATATATATAGGCCTATAAATAGGCCTATGTATATAGGCCTATATATATATAATATATACATATTTATATTGTTTTCAATCAAACAACAGACGAGGTGGACAATTTGCCGCAATTTGGTTGAAATAGGTGTTCACGAACGATTTCGACCATAGACTCTAGTAGATAGAGCAGTGACCTCCAAAATTAGGCCTAACGACTAAGTTGATTTGTACATGGAAGTATATACTTCCATGTACAAATCATTAGTGTTTATGTTAGCTTTCAGAAATTGCATGATGACATCCGAAAAAACTGCTGGAATTTTTTTTTACAGCTGTTTAGGCCTATATATTATTATACTACTTATTTTGTGTTATTAAAATAAATACTAGCACTGACAGTGTTATTAAAATAAATACTAGCACTGAAAATTCAGTCGTGTGAAAGCACAGTTGCAATATGATATCCGGCAGCTTAGCAAAATTGATGAACTGAACTAATGAAAAACATTACCACCAATATTTAATTTTTATGTTATTTACTGTACTTATAAACTTATATTTTTTGTCATTTTTATTTATTTTTTACTATATATTCTGTAATTGAATTCTCTATTTTTCTTTTCTTTTCTTTATTTTTTTTTGTACATTAAGTTATTCCTTAATTACTACAGAATAATGAGAGTAACATTTGTTTTGTTTGTCCAGTATTTTTTCTTTACTTATTTATCTTTTCAACAATTCATTTTTATATATTGTCAGTTGTTGTTTTGTAACTGTTGTACGGGTCGAACCTCTCCTGCGCGAGAGTGTTCCTCTGTTATAAAAGAGAGAACCAATAAATCTTATCTTATCTTATCTGACATTCTTTAAAAAAAGCATTATATTTAGTACATACTTCTCATAGACATAATTCAATTTTTTATATAATCCATTTCGGCGATATTGGATTTCAAAACGGCCGACATGCAAAACCTCTCAGCATCTAAAACATTAATAATTATAATTCTGGTGTCTAATCATTTATTTACTATTTAAAAAATGTCATAATATTTTGGATATAGTCAGATGATCACAGGTAGCACATGTCATTTAAGGTCATTTTAGGTATTAAACAGTGTATAAAATCAAAATATTAAGATAAGTAATTAATTTATTATCCTAATGCCCACAGTCACAGCTTCAATATTCCCGGAGCCAAAGGCCGTTTGCTTTCATAAAATGACCACATGATATTAGGCTAGTTATAATTTAGAAATATCATCCTATTTGGGTCTTGGACTTGCGCATTTGATTGGACATAGGCCAATAGAGATAATTCCATGTCTATTTTTTATATTTGTTTTTAAATTTAATTTTAAACCATAATTTGGAGAATAAAACACATGTAATAAATCAAATGCAAATATGTTGCACATGTCATATGAAATCTCATAAAATGATATACTAAACATATTTTTTAGATATGTTTTAAGGGAGGGGGAGGGAACACCAAATTTTATAATTATTTGTTAAAATTTGACATATTTTTAAAATGATTTTACTTTAATAAAATATACTGAATGTATAGAAAATAGCACTATTCTCTGTCAGAATCTCACCATGGAGATGATTTGACCAGGACAAAAATATGGATTGAAACTATCTACTATTTTTTTAAGACCATCCTATGCGGATCTTGGAACTGCCCCATATGACGGGACATAAGTGCTGGACTGATAGGTAAGACGTCAATAAAAGTGATTTCGTGTCAATTTTACTATGAAATCACATCATATAAAATCTTATAAAATAAAAAAAATCTTTCCTGGAGTGGTGCTCTACAGATTGTAAGCTTCAGAGGTGCAATGTTTTCAAAATGTCATCGCATCAATCCTTTTGGTTTGGGCTGAGAGGTCGGTATGTAGTCTAACTTTAAATCCTATATCTGCCCCTATAAGTAAGAGAATATGGTTAGCGGCTCCGCGGGTTGCCAGGTGCTATTCCAGGTGCCATATTTGCAAAAGTTACTAAACTCAGCCCCACCATGGTTTTTGCTCAGGTATAGATTCTCTCTCCCGCACTCTGTCTCCCCCTCTCTCCTAACTTACCTATTATTGTGTCTGGCCCTTGAGGGGTAGTGGCTCTACAGGTTGCCAGCTGTTATTTCCAGGCATCCACAGAGGTGGTAAAAAAATGTGTTCACCAACCAGGGTGGGGCTGGGGTGGATATTGATTTCAGACCCCACTAACATCAAATCATGAATCCGCCCTGTAGAGTTCAATAGCCAAATGAGTTAAGCGCCACCCCCACACCCTCCCCTCTTATTGTAATGGCCGGATTAAGAATTATAATATAAAATTATAATATTTATAATGTAAAAATAAAAATAGTTCAATCTTGACTGAGCGCATTTTGCTTAAAGCCTAGGCTAGGGTCTTTTGGTTTCAAATTCAATTATACATAGCCCTATTGAATACATATCTTGTAAATACAAAAGACTTTACAATACAATTCAATTCTTTTATTCATATTTGCTATGTATATACAACTTGTATAAATATTGCATACAAAAGATAATACGAAAGTAATCGGTAAGTTTCAATATTTGTGGTAGGCCTATATTTAACATAACATTTGAGTCAAGTACAAAAATAAATAAATGACAGAGGTTGCGGATCATAAATTGTATA